TGCGGACATCCGCTCATTTTCTGACGATTGTGTCTTTTATGGAGGGGTTTTGCGCAGCAACTACTTTTTGCAGTGGTGCTCGGTAAAACGAATGCTTTCGTGCATGCGGCCTTGATTTACCCCGGTTAGGCACCTCGCGCAATGCAATGCAGCGCACCCTCGGCAATGTCAATGCAGGCCCTCGCGCAATTGCCCAAATTCCGGGGGGGGGCGACTAAATCCAGGTTTATCTGGTTAGGTGGTGGTGTGAGTCACGTACGTCGAGACGACTAGAGGAGGGAGGGACCGACGTCCGACTATTGTCCTGTCAACCTGTAGTCGCCCGCTGTTAAGAGAGACGTCTGGGTAGGAGAGTGTCGCAAATAGGTAGGATGATTTGGAAAAAGAATTGAGTATAGTTCGGTGTGAAATAACAAAAATAAGAGCGCCGACACTGCAACCAACTCAAACCGACACATAGCCGATTTGTTCCTTTGGAGTGTGAGGGTGGCCTCGACGTGCGCCTAACGCATGCGCTGGTAATCTACGTCGTGACCCGAGTTGTACTCCGCCCTCGACGTCGGCTCGGCAAATCACCTATTTCACCTTATGACCGACTTATGGTATGAAATGTCTCTACGACCATACCGCTTTGTACACTCAAACCTTTTAACGTGTCCATGAAGAAAAGATCAAGATCATATGGACTGTCGTTACCTTAATACTAGTCACCTTTGACCGGTACGACCCTGGAACCATTCTCACGTACTCCTAGCCACTTAGCGTAATGCCAAGTCCGAGGATAGAGAAATGAAATACAATATTTCCAAATGACTCCTCACCATTCCCGCGCACAGAACAGAGCTTACGAGAAGGGCAGATTTCTAAGTCTCTTTTCGGTTTGGTATACATGTAAGTTTAAGAGTATTATTGATCTTGACGAGTAACCGGTTCGGACGACCAACTTAAATTTAACTATGGCCGACAAGACACACGTACTTTGTCACATAAAGTCTAGTCGTTTGTAATTAAGTAGTTACTGTTAGATTTATGTTATGACAATCTTCCGTCTTAGGACCATACGTGCCATTCCATACGCTACGTCCAGTAGGTACAAATCTAATCTTTATTTATTTCCTTCTTTAACCCGAAACTACGAAACTAATTGTGAGTCGAGACGAGAGTTTAGAAAAAATAAGTGCCAGCGCGACGAACATTACAACCTTATCCGGACATTCGTATTAGGCCACACCACTGTGTAAGCACGAGGATTAAGAGTGTAGAGATCAGACGATTAGACTAAACTATGGCTTAGTTGGGCCCCCGGCGTATTCACCAATGACGAGTGCATCCTCCTGTCAGAGAGCCGAGTCTACTCAGAAAATTCGATGTCGGGTCTCTAGGGGGTTTTTATAACGGGAGAACCAGGGTCTCCAAATAGTTCTGGCAACCGAAGCCCTGTTACTAATTGGAGGTTTGCCGAGGGACCCGGGTCTGGCGTAAATTTTGGTTCTGTTTAGGGACAATCCACAGAAAGAGACACCCTAGCCCTGTTACAAGCGGGGCCGAGGGCGGTGCTACTTGGTCAACAATCTGTGTGAAAACCAATGGTCCGTTTGTGCGCGGTGAGTACGAGTCTGTGCTAACCTAAGGTTTTCCACACGTCGACGAGGTTCGTTATTTGGGCGTCTCCGGGTTGTGTGATGATGGCAATGCTACTCTGTGTGGTACCTTTGTTGCTACATTACGACCCCTCTGTTACACTCGCGTACACTTCTACTTATTCTCGTACCCGTCGCCAAGCGTTATGTGTTGCTGGGTCCTCGAAGGACGTACGCAGGAGTTTTACCCCTGCCTTCTTGTCGTTGCGGTGTTGGGAGGTCCCGACACACACACACACACACACACCACACACACGCACACACAACACACACACACACACACACACTACACACACACACACACATCACACACACACAACCACACACACCACACACACACACACACACACACACACACACCACACCACACACACACACACACACACAACACACACAGCACACTGGTCTTTGATGCACGAGTCGCGGATCTAACCTCCGGTGAGGTGGGTCCGGGTAATAGTTATGATATAACGGGTTTCCGTTGCCCGGCTCTCTACCTCACAACGTCGTTAGAAACTGGAGTTCAAAATCGATAGTTACTGATTTGTATTTTAATTAATTAGAGCGAAACTTCCCGGAGTAAAAGTCAGAATGCGTAGGCTACGGACCTTTGAAACCGCGGTTAGGTAGTGAAACAATGTCAGCATTGCGCACCGGTGGTCCACGGAATAAGTCTCTAAGAATTAGCGTTAAGGACTCAACACAGATTACGCTTTGAAACCGATGAATGTTTCGTCATTCCATGCCTATCCCCCTGTGTGCCTTTGGACTCTGCACACCGTTTACATGCAGAAAAACCTTCATAACACACAAGGGGACGGGTAATAACCGGAAAAGCATGACATGGGACCTTTAAAGAAGACATATTATGCTATTTTTTGGTACATATCTGTATTTTGTGCCTCTACTGTAATATGTTTACATACTTTTGCATAAATCTGAAGTGGAGTGTGTGGGAGAGAAACTCCCTCTGGAGGGATCACAGGGGATGTTAGCCTTTGCAGACCGTTTACATGCACAAAAAACTATAACACTACAGGAAAGGGAAAAACCCCAAAAAGCATAATAGGCCCCTTTAATTTATCTACTACCTCTGTTCCATTGATATTTGTCATGTTTCACTTTTAATGATACACTGCAGAAAAGAGTAAAACTGTTTTGCACTATTCCAAGCTTTTGGAAAAACACTAAAAGGTAATGGTGCACTTTTTAGTTTGCTGAAATGTTTACATTTTTGTACTAATGTTATCTCCATCAAGGAGGAAGGTATCTATTCTGTGTGAACCTGATAAGTTAATTCTGTATAAGGCCTGGACAGAGTTGAGGTGTTAATCTTGTCTGTTACAGCTTATCTGCATTGTTTTCTATTAGGATTTGATCTAAATGGAGTCATGTGCTCTCATTCTAAGAGAGCTGGGCCTCAGTGACACACATTCAGACAGATGTCCAGATGATTAGGAGTAGACTAACAACGCCTCTCAGTCAGTGTTAGTCACACAAGTGCTTTGGGAACTAGTTTAATTGGAAAGGGAGGCACTGATAGTAAATACTGCCCTGTCATGGTAACATGCTTGGTGCGTATGCATTGTTTTTACGGCATGCTTCCAGGCAGCCAATGATCATAAGATTAAGATCTAAATGATTTATTTCTGACATGGATTCATTTAGTCACACGCTCCAAGTCATTTAATAGGTTATTCTGATATCCTTCATGAGGAACGATATCTTCCTCATGACACGATGTGGGGATTTTTGATGATATTCCGATGAAGGAAAAGAAGAACAAGAGATACTAATAAAGAGAACATTTATTAACATGTCTTCTTGATACAGTGACAAAGAGGAAGAGGAGGAGAGGTATACGGAACGATGTAGGAAAAAGTGTCTCTGTGCATGTTCCTAGATCTCAATCTTATTTTTATATTTCCTCACGAACTGTGGAATCTTGGCTTGCAGACACCAGTCATCGAGTCACACAGCTTTAGAGACATGACTCAAGCAGCCCAACAAGAAGGCAGTGTGAGGCAAGCAAAACATTTGAGATGGAGACACAGAAACAGGGAGATGTTGGAGTGCTGGAGAGATGTAAGTCTTGTTTATGCAGCAGTGTAAAGACAAAGAGTGGATGTGATGTTCCCTTCAGTCAGGGTCACCAACCTCCCTGTGGCAGGATTCCTCCATGCCCCACCAGAATATGATACCAGTCTGGATAAAAGCAAGTTATTAATAAACATTCACCAGAGTGGAAACTCCACAGTGAAAGATGGTAAACAACTTTTAATACAGGGGTCATGCAGCGACATATAATCAATACATGATACTGCACATAGGTCATGGAAACTGAAAACACAGTGTCACCTTATAGGAGTGCTATGCTGAACAACAGTCACCAAAAGCAGAGGTGGAAGAAGTACTCAGATCTGTTACTTAAGTAAAAGCAGAACTACCACAGAATAGGAATACTCTGTTACAAGTACAAGTCCTGCAGTCAAAATGTTAAGAGTACAAAAGCATTAGCATCAACATATACTTAAAGTACCAATAGTCATTGTGCAGATTGGTCCATTTCAGAATAATATATATGATAAGTATTGATCATTAAAGTGTTCTCAAAGCCTGGTAAACGGTGCAG